CTCATGCCACGTGCTAGCCTTCAGTTCTGAATAGTTTCATATGTGATTGTAGTGACTATGGAAGCTTCAGTCCAGAAGGCAAGAGAATAACCTCTGATGGATTAGGGTCCGGTTATTTCCTCTCTCATGCCATGTGTTAGCCTTCAGTTCTGAATACTTTCATATGTGATTGTAGTGACTATGGAAGCTTTAGTTCAGAAGGCAAGGGAATAACCTCTGATGGATTAGGGTCCAGTTATTCCCTCCCTCATGCCATGTGCTAGCCTTCAGTTCTGAATAGTTTCATATGTGATTGTAGTGACTATGGAAGCTTCAGTCCAGAAGGCAAGGGAATAACCCCTGATGGATTAGGGTTCAGTTATTTCCTCCCTCATGCCATGTGCTAGCCTTCGGTTCTGAATAGTTTCATATGTGGTTATAGTGACTATGGAAGCTTTAGTTCAGAAGGCAAGGGAATAACCTGAAAGGTTTTTGGTTTGATGATTTGGAGTGATTTTCCTCAGACCGTGGTTGGTCTAGTTGTTCTGTGCAATAGTCAAATAGACACAAAAGAAAACAATGGAAATAAGATCTACCATCGTCTATTAGTCTACTCGACTAACTATTTTACGGTGAGAAGAAAATCCTTTTACGTTTCCTCAGAGTGAAACAATTCAAGTGGTTAGTGTATAATAGTCAAAATATCTATTTCTTCGAGTGTTCAATTGATATCTCACGAGTGAGCACAGCGAACGAGTGAGATATCTAAATTGAACACGAGAAGATAAAATTCGTATCTCCAAGCGGCCATGTAATGTTCTGTTTATTATATAGATATCGATGAAACTTAAATAAAACAAAAGCTCAAAAATTCTTTATTAAAATAGCAAGCCGATTCAACAGCGATATCTTCACGTGTGAAAGATATGGTATCTTCCACTGGTGAAAGATAACAAGTTTTCGACACTAGAGAAAACCTTGTATTTCATCGATATCTATATAATAATAGCTAATATACTAACCTCTATTAGTACAATAACTGTTTCACGATCTGATGAAAATCCTTGTGATCTTATGGTCTATTTAGAGTGATTTTGTACAAAATAGTCAAATAAAAAACCCAATGATAATGAGGCGTGTTTACCACCTAAACCAATCCATCCGGTTGGAAATTCATTCGCCAATAGTAAGAAAAGAGCGGGAAACTTTGACTTTCGAAATCTGGTACACGCGTCTACCGGAAGAACCGAAAAGAGCGGGAAAAGTGGTTGACTTCAATTGGAGGCCCGAGTTTTCCGGGACTTTCTTTTCGGGAATGATGCATACCTTTCATTTTGCAAGCAGAATTTCCGGTTTTTCCCGGTAAATGGTAAGCACCCAATATCTACTAACCTCTATAGTATACTAACTATTTTACAATAACTAACAGATTTCTCGCGCGCTGATTTGTTATTTTTTATCATTATTAAGAGGACAGACAGATAAAGCTGTCGTCAACGAGCGACTACGCCTCGTGGATCCACACTACTTTGACAATCTGATGATGCAATTTATCGTCAATAAGAGGACAGACACATAAAAAACTGATGTCTATTTGTTAATTTGATCACGGTTCTGAGAAAAAAACCTCTAACATTGTGAAAATCTGTCTTCTCTCCATAGTCGCTTATTCGTTACTTCAATCGCTTGTTCTCCTGAGACATATATCGGATTTAATGCTAGTTTACCATGATTACTCTCTACCTGGTCCACAGATCTATACAGAGGATTCAATGAATTGTTTTCGAGTTCTTTTCTGATCACTTGGTCGGCAGATTCGTACAGAGGGTTGTCAAATATCTTAGTAGCCACTGGACTTGAAGTCTTGAAGTCGATAGTACTGTATGACAATCTCGTATTTTCTTCATTATTATCTTGAAGTTTTACTGGAACTTCTTGAGATATTTCACGTAAAATGTTCTCCTCTGATGGAGGGTCAGGTATGAAGGTTGGGTTACTAAACTGGTATTTGTTGGTATTCATCATGTCTTCAAATGGCGGGCTAACATCTTTCGTCTCTTTTGGAGTTAATACAATTCTCCCGTGATTCGACCTGCTTTTGCTATGCTTCCTCCACAACCACGCTACAAGAGATATCACTAAAACCAACAAAAGCAGAACACAAATCGAAATCAAGGCATATATTGTCGTATCTTTAGTACGGCTATTATTAGAACCCTCCGATGAGTTCTCCGTCGTGAGTTTAGCCTCGCAGTTTTTCCCAGTAAAGTTAGAACTACAAACACAAAGGAAATCTTTTCCTTTCAGTGGAATACATGTTCCATCATTTTGACATGTGTCCTCTTTACAGTTTCTCCAATCTTGTTCACAGTTTTCGCCTGTCCATGGATATCGACACGGCTTACAATCATCTCCGCCGTAGCCCGGTGCACATCCCGCACAGTCCCCGCTCCAAGGGGGATTACAGCTACACCAATACTTCGTCGTGCTGTTCTCGGAGTACGGGATACATGTCCCGTTTCGCGGACAAATGTGCGGGTCGTCCCGACAAATTGAACGATTTGTGTCACAGTTGACTCCAGTGAAAGGTTCCTTGCACAGACAAATGAATCCATCCCTCTTTTCTACGCATGCTCCGCCATGAAGACAGCTTTGCTCTGAACAATGACTAACATTAGTCTCACAACGTGAGCCAGTAAATCCCTCTTTACAGAGACAATTGTAACCATTAACATGAGATTCACATCTCAAAGTACCGYTCWCAGAACATGGCTTAGYTCGACAAYGGTTYACCATGACGTCACAATTCGGGGGCGACCACCCTGTCTTACAGGGACAGCTGTAATTCTTGTATCCTCCGAATCCATCTTCGCAAGGCCCGATGGTGTTATCCAGATGACATGGGTCAGACTCACAGTAATCGATATCGACGCAAGAATAACCGTCGCCCTTAAAACCGAGTTTACAAGARCATTTCGCTTGTCCTGGTCCAGCCCGTAGACACATGGCAAACGCGCTGCAGTTATTTCTACCATTGGAACACATATCTACTTCTTGAACCAATACAGTAATTACGCCAGTCGTACTTAGTCCCCCACGATCAATCGCGCGGATATATAGGGAGTAGCGGTTGATAAACCAGGCATTCAGCTGAGACCCAACATAAAGCTTGCTGTCATGGATACGAAAATGACTGCTGTTTGGGCTACCTATTGATAATAGATGAGAATCATATCTGTCAGGGTCATCTACAATTATGTACCCAATGAGATGACCAACGGGTGAGTCCTCTTCGAGAGATACCGCTGTTTTGCTGCCGTTGAGAGCGATTCTCGTGGGTGCTTCGTTAATGTCTGTGATATTCACATGGACGTTCTTGGTAAAGGAGAGCGAAGAGACTACTTCACGTACAGTTATTTGAACAGTAATGATTGGTGTTGTCTCGTGGTCTAATGGTGCACGTGAGACAATTACTTGRTCCCTGACYACCMTGAAGGGTACCCCATGGGAYGYTATCTCGTACACATACCCAGTGCTCGGCACATCCGCGTCTGTTACAGAAATGTTCCCCAGTAGGGTCCCGTCAGGTGAGTTTTCTCCAAGAGATGACGGGGTTAGATGTAAATCTGTTGGGGGTTCAGGAACATCAAGGACTTGGACGCGCAACGAAGAAACAATTGATAGCGGCGGTAGACCGCTGTCTGTAMATTTAAGAAACAGAGTAAACACAGCGCGAGCCTCATAGTTTAAAACCTTTCGCACAAGAATGGAGTTTGTTCCGGGACGGATYATGAATTCTTTTGGTATCTGATTCRTTTTGGCAGYCGATCGCTTGTGACGAGTAGACGGATCATGCGCACTAACAACAGCAAACAACTTTGCTTCCTCCTCACTTATCAACACGCACTTATGCGTCTGCAGTTGAGCGGGGTTGTTTACATTATCCTCATCTTTGATTGTGACGTATGTTACTATGGTAACACCGACTTCAGCCGTCTCATTAACGGTCACTACTGGTGTGCTGATCAGCTGGGTGGTTCTGTTAGGAGGGTGAGGGTCCATAGTCGTATCCCCTTGTGAATCAGTGAATATTATGTTGGTGGGCCTGTCATTCGAGTCTAAGACTTTGATAACAAACTGTTTCTGGTACCAAGACCCTCCCCCGTCGGTGCATTTGATGACGATCCTGTGTTCTTTCTGCGCTTCGTAGTCCAATGGAATACCATTCATTGACGTGAGGAGATGAATTTTTGAATTATTTTTTTGGATCATAAAACGAGCTCCTGCGTCATCGATTAGTAAGCACGAAAAGGATTGCGGGAAAGTATCGGGGTCCTTAACGACGACATCACCAATAYAGGCACCCATGGTCGAATTTTCGTACACGATTTGTCGGCTGAGCTCAACGTCATAAGGAGGCTCGTTCACGTCCTTGATTGGTATCACCATGGCAACAGCTTTCGTCAATTGATTAGGCGTGCCATTATCTGTGCTTGATATAGTTATTTTGATAGCCCTCACTGATTCGTAATCTAGCTGACCGTTGTCTTGTATATAGAGTTTGTTGGTGTGTTTTATGCCGAGTACCCCACCAGGAGTTTGAGTAAGAATGGTATAAACATGTTTCTGTTCTTGATCTTCATCTAGAGTACTTAGCTCTCCCACGATAGTATCGACCTGAAAGGTGACAAGAAAATACTTTCATTCTTCACTTTCATTGTCATTGCCAAAATGTTGGCAGCATTGAATAAAAGATTGCTCATTAACGTCCTTCGTTTACACCACACCAACTTCAATTTGAAAAGCATGAAACCCGAAAAGTGAGTCACGTTCTGCCTTGCACAGTTTTCGATACTTGGAGATCGAAACACCTCTCTCTCCCTTTAACCAATTAATTGAGGACTAAGATGTTTCAAATTACCTTTCTGTTAACTAAAATGCTTAAAATGTCAAAAGGCTTGTTACGCTAGATTAGGGTAGAACGGTAAGAGCCAGAAATGTCTACATTCCCTTCCAAAAAATAAGATAAACTATGCATCTAAAAACACCGCAGTTTTACAACAGACCTTTTTACTGATACGGCGGCCATCTTGAATAATAAGATGCCGAATGGGTAAACACGTAGAAAATTCAAAAAGCATAGATTGGTGAGGAACCTTACCCGAATTCAAGATGTTCGCCGTATCGGTAAATAAGGTCTATTGTCTATACAACCATTAATTTTAGCCTCCCACCCCTTCCCCTTCAGTAGATATTAAGCTCCTACATCCCTGTGACCACTCTGCCCAGAGAGTATTTTTAAAATTTAAACTCCTTCAAAGAATAATACTTTACTGACCTTTTGATTCTCAGTAACGAAGACTCCTCGAGGAAGAACAATATCAGTTGGTGGGTCATTAGTATCGACCACAGCAACTGTTAAACGCTGAGTAACGCTGAGGTTACCGCTGTCCTTACTCGTGACATTAATGTCATAATGATCACGTGACTCATAGTTGAGCCTCGTTGTGGTGATGAGTTGGTTACCGTGTAGTCGGAAAGGGACTGTGGAAGAGTTCTCATGGTGTAAAGAGTACGTGAATGAATCCTGTTTGTCCGGGTCCAAGGTGGCTAACGTAGCAACGAGATATCCAGGGCTTTGGTTTTCTGGAGCCTATGAATAATACGTGGAAAAAAACAAGCGTAAAAACGACCCTTTATGGAATCTTTTGCTATCTTTGGAATATGGCGATTAAGATTTCGATGATCAAATTATAAAATAATTTTTAAAAATGCGTGGGAAGTTTGAAACTTTCAACTCCCATTACTCTTAGCCAAACGAAACGCCAAAACATCACAAACAAAACGAGCATGTGTTTGGCTTCTGTGATTCGTCTCTCTCAGTGACTGATTTGATTGATGGAAAGTAACATTATCGCATGCAGATTACTCGTGCACGAAAACCGATTTTATCCGATCTCAATGCTTTAATTGAATAGCAAGCATTTTGGTACAGCTTGACACTTAGTTTGCTTCCTTTCCGCGGCTGTACAACTGCAAAACATGGGTGGACCGGCGCTCGCCTCTCACCAATTAAATACGACCTCAGTTCAATCCCTGGCCTATTTGTCCTATAAGCATGAGTAGAGAGCCCGGGAGTAGAGTTGCTTTTTGGTTCTCTCTTGTGCTTCGAGTGTTTTTCTGAGCGTTCTCTCTACTAAAACATCTCTCTACAAAATCTACTTCTTCCAAAAGGATTCAGTGAGGAAACGAAAAGTATCTGTAATTGGCATATGTTGTAGTGCTTTCCCAGCCATTGTGTGCATGTTGTGTGTGTAAACTTTTTTTAATACTTCATTGCTGTATGTTTGTAAGTTTTATTCAGCGAAGCCGAATAAAATAAAATAAAGTATATAATGAAGCAACAAACTTGGAACCCACCTCAAACCTGTCACTTATTGAGAATATCCTCGTCGGTGGTTCGTTGACATTCACAATATTAATGATAAACTGTTGATTAATAGCTTCTTCATCTTGATCCTGGCATTTAACGTCGATCAAACACTTCGGCCCCAAAGCGTCCTCATAATCTAACGCACGGGACTTCCCCACCACTATGTTGAGTCCACGTATCTCAAACCGACCACTAGCATCATTACGTAATTCACAGCTAAACCGCTGAGCAACAACG